ACAAATATACAGAGCAAACTTAACATAATAAAAAATTCTGAACTACTGCTGGTTGTATTTAACACTTTAGTTAAGCACCAGAATGTGATCAACATAAAACTCTAAGTACAAGATAACAGCATCCATAAAATGTATGAACTAGTAGTTTGACAATTCCTACAAAGAATATCATAACTAAATCCTTCCTGCAAGTTACTTTCTGTGTTTGAATTACTTAGAAAACAAAAATGCCTTGTGAAGTAGTTTCTTTGGTATCTCTTCAATCTTAAAAGAGTAGAATAAGAATTGTAACAATCAACTTGGTAGTATTTTGAGCACACACCAGAATTTTACAAGTCTGTAACTGCCTGAAGTACTTGTCAAACACAGCACAACAGGGTCAACATTTCTTCCGTCTATGCTGGATATGTATTACCTCACATGATAATTTAGTTCCAGCTTAAGACAAGCTTAAGTCTGGACAGGCCAAAACAAATGACCGATTTTGGGGAAAGAGGTAAAGGGAGGGAAGGAGGGGGAAGAAAGGGAAAATAAAAAAATTACCTCAAACAGACTGCCATTCTCTGCACAGCTCTCGTGGCAAAGCCAAACAACTAAGGGAGCAACATACTCTGGTTTGAAAGCATCGACCAGATCTAGAGTAAATTGGAGGGGGGAATCATAAAATAGAAATACGCTATGATTTTACCAAATTATTCTTACTCTAACACCTTCTGATAAACAGCAGAGCCAGGGAGAATTTAATCAACAGTGTTCTGTTATGAAAGGAAAGGACAAACCAAGTAAAACATTTGAAGATTCACTAAACACAAACAATTCATGAGACATGTATATGCCACCAAAGACAATGACATTGCTTCTCAGCCAGACAGTCTGCTTAAATATTTGGAACACTGCTACATGCAGACTGGAAAGCCAGGTACCTAAATTTTCATCTGACAGGTAACCAGAAAAAAGACAAGCCAGCTGGTCACAGTCCCAATGGAGCATTTTTCCTTTTAATCTGCTGGTCAGTTGTAAAGACAAGAAATTATGAAAATAATCGCAGCTGCTGAAATGTTTAAGAAACATTTCATTTGGAAATGCTGATTTTGCCAAATGAGATAAAGGGAACTATCAACCCTGCTAAACTTATGTATCAGTTGTATTTGGGGATTTTCACTGACATCTGGCAGAAGAGAAAACTATCTGAAAATTGAGATATTGTCAAGGAACAGATTGCAGTTGTCCAGGAAACTCTTATCACACATTTTATCCACTGATTGAATAATAACTTTGTTTAATTTCCTTCTTCAGCTCTTAGAATATTGTTCTTTCAACAACAATAGACACATAGCTGTTCCTCAGCTAAAGGTCTTCAAGCATTTTCAATTATAGCCTGACAGATGAAGCGCTGAGAAAGTTTATCATTATGAGTACTTCTTTCATAGCAAAACTGAAGTAAGGTAAGTTCATTTTTAGAAGTTCCACCAAGAAAAAGGAAGTTAAAATCCATTTGATATAGTATGTTGCAAGTGCATAACGAAATCCTTAGGCTTTTCCAAAGCATTCCAATTTATGCCACACACAGTTCAGTCTCAAAAATTAGCACTAGATTGCTATCACTAATGTTATTACTTCACTATAAAAGTCTTTTAGAAATAGATGATGGAAGTTTAAACAAAAAGCACATAAAAGATGCAAAGTGCATTTAAAATACTAGCAAGAACAACATGTGTGTCAAGTTGAACATACGTAACTGGGTGAACGAGAAAGTAAAACTGTTTGCAGACACCTAAAGACAAATAGGAAAGTACTGACTTAGATAACAAGGACAATTTGCTAAGATATCTGAAAGCATTTTTACAGTTGTGGTGTTGAAATTTTTTAAGATTATTTGAAATGCTGAACAGGGAGGGAGGGATGAAGTGAGATAACAAATAAATGATCAGAGCTCTAAGCATCTTATAGAGAGACCAAAGGATCTCACTCATCTTAAAATGATTAAGGAAGAAAATTATGAGGTGTTTTTTCTCATTCTTTATAAATAAAATATTTTCAGAAAATTCCAGCTACTGTACTCCATTTTACACTTCAGGTACCCATGGCTGCAAGCTTAACATATTTGGCTCTTCTGCAAGAAGTTACAATAAATCTCTGGAACATACAACCTATAGATTTCATGAAGATTTGGATTATTTCATGCTAGATTTCATGAAGATTTGGATTATTTAGATGCAAACCAGGATATTTTAGTCAAGCAAAATCAAGCATTCAATCTGTGCATAATATCTAAAACATATTACTCTCAAATACCTTGTATAACAGTTTGAAGAATGTAATGATTCCCTTCCTAAATTTACACTATACACATATCTGCCTCTTAAAATGTTCCTTACACTGATTTCCCAATGCAATGCTCTGTTAAAACCTGTTCAAACATTCAAAGATTAGTAACAGTGCAACAAAGAAAAATTAGGCAACTCAGTTCACTATCATCTCCTGCTGATCATGGAAAGACTAAGTACACACATGATATGTTGTGCAAATACTCAGTATTTTGCAATTAGACAATACTGCAACACATGCAGACACCTTATGCACATACCTGATTCCATCTCTGATGAAACAAAAAAAGCCTTTCCACTACTGTAGGAGGATCTTAGAAGAGATTATAATTAAAGAGCCTTGCCACATGAAATTGCTTTTGTAAATTAGAAAACTTGCTTCTTATCTTGGGGTAGAAAAAAAGAATACCCCACAATAGACAAAGCAAGTAAGCTGACAGTTCAGAGACAAAAAGACAGTAGGAACAAAAAATCAGCAGTGTGTGAAGTGTGAAGAATTTGCATTTTCTAAGAGATAAGAAAGTTAGATGTGCTTTAATTCACTGAAAAATGTATCAGTACATGTAGACTTTAAATGATTCACCTTGTGGCATGACGGTTTGGGTCAGTCTGGATCCAGCAGTAGGAGCAATTGTGTTGCAGTGGATGTTATACTTGCGTCCTTCAATTGCAATTGTGTTTGCAAGACCCAAAAGGCCAAGCTTTGCAGCACTGTAGTTTGCCTGACCAAAGTTTCCATATATTCCAGCAGCTGATGAAGTCATAATTATTCTTAGGGAAAAGGAGAGGGAATAAAAATTAAATTATTTCCTCAAGTTATTTAATTCCACACAATGGCATTTACCAGCTCTGGCATTATAGTCACCATGTTCCACAAGATGAAAGCATGAAAATAAGCACACATTCTTGGTTGTTTTGCTAACATGTAACTATTTTCTGTTTGATAGATAGCAAACATCCGACAAATCCTGAAGTGTTGTCATAGTAGCAGAAAACGAACAAAGTCATGAGCCTTTCTGAGTTATACTGCAAAACTTGAAAAGACATTCTTTGACAGCAGGGTATAGCCTAAATAAAACTAGTTTCTTTTCATGTTCTAATCACACTTCAAGTGGCACTACTCTTACAACTAACTAATGGTTTCGGTGGTCAGAAGAAAACCATTTTACTGAAAATTATTCCCCCTGAATATCTACCTGGTAATACGCAAAGATGCATTCTTACAGAATTCACATTCAAAGAATTTTAATGCGTGTTAAATGCACAATGGAAGGAGATGAGAAAGTCTTGCCCTTTTCTATCGCTATTATTGCTGTGAAGATGACTGAACTGCTCACAAAAAAGTTCTAAAGCCATTGCAGTTCACAGAGGTTTTGCGGCACGAAAACATTGTGCTGCACGTCTTCTCACTGATGTGAACTCAAAAGAAAAGGGTTTACAGCTTCGCTTTTAAAATAAGCCTTATCAGATTCTGTTCAAATCTAGTTGCAAACATACTTCATAGTATGTTTACACTTCATAATTAAGACAATAGATCAACATCTATTTAATTTTTTTTGCTATCTTCCTCACTGCAAAAAGCCAAGGTTTTAAATCCAAATAAAGAGATGTGTTACAAGTACTGGCTCAATATGAACAAGATGAAAAAAAAGGCACAAACTCTATGTAAAGCAAGCATTTTGCAGATGGCACATGTCTATACATAAACTGCAGAAACACTCACTACCATTGTTTTCTGAGCAAATACAGAAAAGGAGCCAAGAGAAGCATTTTCCTAAATGAATGCAACTCCTAGACTTTGCGTACTATGTCTGCTAATCTCTTCTCTATCCTCACAGTTCAGCTCCCTGGATGGGAATGAATGCTACTTAACCACAGGAAGAGAAACCAGCTCACAGTTTTCAACATGTAGGTATGGTTAAGATTAATATAGTCACATTAGTGATTTGATAAGGAAAAACAACAAAAAGTGAAAAAACTGATCTGATTTCACTGCACTCTTTAACAGCAACATCTACCAAAACAGAGAAGAACACTCCCACAACTTCTATGACAAGTACGTCTGCCCAAAGGGTTAAAACTAGCAAACAAACCAAAAAAAAACCCCAAACCCTCAACAACCCGACCCTAAAAAACAAAAACCCCACAAGCTACTAGCAGAACTGCGTGTACCTATCACTTGACTAAGAAGGAGCAGGACAAGAATCCCTCAGACTTGCAGTAACGCAGAAGTAACAAACATTTCTAACCAGTCCTCATGAAAAGAAATTGCATTTTTATAGTCCTACAGCTCCTGTCTGGGATATTTGGAAAAGATACCCTTAAATACATGGGAAAAACCCCTTTGGCTGGGGAGGCAGAAATGAGGATCAGAACTGAAAAGTCTCACACATTGGGACTGATTTTGTTTCACCGCAGGAACAGTGAACTCTTTCACTGTCAGGACTTGTATCAGTCTGTTATATCCTACTGAAAAAGTAAAACAGAAGACAAACTTTTACCTGCCGAATTTCTGGTTTTTCATATGATTCCAAGCAGCTCGGGTCACCAGGAATGATCCCCTCAAATGAATTCTATGAATTATATCTAGGAACAAATTAAAGTCAGTTTAATAATTTCAAGATTTTGCCTCCAAGCTTGATAATGCATTGTTTGTTTCCTTCTCATGACATAAAATGCACTTTCTTCACACTCTGCTACTAAAAAGTTACCAAAAGGCTTTTCCTCTTTCACGCATTATTTTGAAATGCTTGCCTGGACACACACTGATCACATGGGGGCTGCCCATATACACCACCTCTTGGATGAGGCTCTCCTGCATAGAATTCACAAGCATTCAAATCTGCTGCACTTAAGCACACTCAAATAAGGACTACACAAGCTGTACCATCTTTGCCACAGCCTTCTCCACTGGCTTATCACGACCTACCATCTCACTGAAGTTTTGCCCTTTTCTTCTGTCCCTTAGCACATTATCCTCTGCTTTCCTCTGTGGTTAGTACTGAGTCTTTAAAGCCTGTTTAGTATTCAGCCACTCAGTGCTGGCACTAGGAATGTGTTCCCTTCACAAAAACTATTTTGTGTAATTCATATGGCTCTTTTTTGTATTCCACTCAGCAACCAGGAGTGGCAGCTTAAGCCCTTTTTCCCCTTTGGGACTATATACACCTACCATGCATTGCAGCACAGATCTGATTTGCTAGCTGAACACAAGCCAGCTGAACACAAGGTGCTTACCACAAAGCTTTCAGAGCAAAAGGTAAGCCTTCCCTGCCTTCTTTTCTTCCTTGATCCAAAGGGAGGGATGTACCTTTCATCTTTCACAGAGAAAGTACATTTTAAAGTAATTTTAAAATCGACTTACCCCAATCTTCATCACTTATCCGAACAAATGAACGGTCTCTTAGGATCCTAAAATGCAACATTAGGAAAACAAAACAAAACAAACAGAAGATGAAGAGGTTTACACAAAAGTGACAGCCCACAATGAAAACAGGACAAAACCCTCAGGTATACTCACCCAGCATTGTTTATAACGATATCTGGGGAGAAAAAAAAGAAACTGGTGAAATACAAGCTTGATACTACATTTCTCCCATTTCTAAAAATATAAATAGACAAGAACACTGCACACATATATCATATTACTATTCTCTATCTCCTTGTGAATAGTGAACTCTATTGCTGTACAGTAATTAAGACAAAATACTTCAGGACAGGTAAGTCTCAGCCCGCCAAGGGGACAAAGCCTGACAGGAAGGTATAGCTGTGAAGTGCTGGCTACCCAGAAACAGCCATCCTTTACGGTTTTAAAGCTCTCTTTAAATTTCAGGGTGCTCCCAATTATGCAGTTTGTTACGACCATTTTGGTGCAGTAAGCCTAAATGATAACTAGAGGAACCACAGAGTCATGAAGCCAATAAAGCAACTTGGATCATAACAACTTTTTGTCAAATATTTAATTTGCTTCCTGTCGGCTTTGATTACGTGCAGCTTTAGACATTTAACCCTGAGGTAAAATCAAAATAAAACAGAGGCAATCACATGGTAAAAATGAACATTAATTGTTAGATAAAATACCTCAAGCTTTATTTTTTTTGCATTTCTGTTAAATTATTTTGACTGGACATGGGCAGAAGAGCTTCCAAAACATGACAGAGTACCTCTGACTCTTCAGCAACATTATTTATGCTAATTTTATGCAGCTAAGCATTTCATGCATCACTTGATAAACTGTGTGCTTTACATAGAAAATGTTAACCATTACTGAAATTCCAAAATTCTGAAGGGCAGGAAATCAAGACTCATATATTGAGCTTTAAACTTGTTAAGAATACTCAAAAACCCAGAAAAATTGTTCATTCAGATTAAAAGTTGAAAGCTCCTTATAGAGATTTCACTGACCAAGGGCATCAAGGGTTGGTGAGTTCTGTTGTCACACTGTATTCATACACTCGTTGTCAATTGCACTGCTTATAACAGCTCTACACTTGCAAACAAGTTTCAGCATGAATTAAGCAACTGTACCTATCCTCCCAAAAGCCTCAAGCGCTGTCTGCACAAGCTTTTCACCATCTTCCACTGAATCTATAAGAAAAAGGTACAAATTTTCAAGTCAAATGAACTGGATATACTGCACTTTCAGAATATTAACAACTAATTCTATGGAACTAAGAAAAATAAATTGTGTACAACCCCAATACAAACTAAATTCAAATTCAGCCACTATCGGCACGTGGCCTAAAGCAAATCCCACACAGTAAGTCTGAATGGCACAATGTTTACCATTGCAAGAAAAAACATGAAGCAAAGCAAGGAAGAATCATCCCTTTCCATTTCGCCTCTGAAAACTGCAGATGGGCAGCAGCTTAATATTCCAATGTCAAAAAAACATATAAAAGAAAAAGGCATTACTAGACAAATCATAATTTAAAAAGCAAGTGATGCACTTGCTTTTAGTGTCTCTGTCTCCCCACTCCATATCATACTACACCTATTTAATTTATAGTATTGGCAAGCTGGCAATAGTCCTTTACTAAGCAGCGTCAACAGGGCACTATTCCTATAGATAAAGCATTATACTCATCTGCAAAAATAACATACCATAATTCGGTACTGCCTTCCCTCCTTTTGCTCTGATTTCGTTGACAACTTTGTCAGCAGCTGAGGAGCTCTTGCCATGTCCCTTGAAATCACCTCCAAGATCATTCACTATGCATGACAAAGAAATGAATTTTTCATTAACACTCAGACTACATTGTTATTACAATGGAAGTTACAAGTATTAATAAAACCTGCTGCATCTGTATTTTACTGAAAATCTCAGATGATTAGGAACAGGCCACATGATTTTTTTAAAAAAAGTAGTGCAACATACATTATCCCTTTTTTTAAATAACATGGAAAACAGATTTAATTTTTTCTCTCCACCATGCATTCAACTTGGTCGCCCTGCCCAGGCTACCTCTGTAATTATGCTGTAGTTCAGAGATTAAGATCTAGGTTACGTAACAACCCTAGGCAATTTATTCTGGTCGATAGTCAAACTGCTGTAACTACTGCAAGAATCACAAGCAAGACTGAGAAGACTTTGTTCCTGATTATAATAGAGTATCTAAATTGTTACTAGTCGACTTCACAACAGAAGAGATCAAGCAGCCTGAACAATGCGAGAAGTGCCTGTTCTGGAGCTCCAGATCCTGCTCCTGTAGGATGAAACAGAGATGCTTTGTTTCCAGACTGCTCTCTCTACTGGGACACACAGTTACCATCACTCATGCCAGGTGTAAATGTACCATCACCACACTGCTGCACTGCTGTGTCTGCACATCCCATAGCTTCACAGAATTCATCAGAGGAACAAGAACACTCCCAGAAACCTCCATTCCAACACTTCACTTGGACAAAGAATTTAAAACATTTGTAAGAAGTATGTTTAAACAGGTGCAAAATTAAATGGTAAGAAAACCAAAACTGACTGAATTTGCATGAAACATTGGTATTCTACTAAACAGTCTTTTGCTATGATGTACTCCAGCTTTTTCACTCCTAACTTTTTTAAAAGTCCTCAAAAAGCCAGACACAGTGAAATCCACAAAATATGCATATATTCTTGCGGGTCTTGATGATAAACAGCAACTGCAAGTCTGCTATATCATCCCAAAAGGAAAGAAACCCATTTTGTGCCCCTTTTTTTTTTTTTTTTTAACTCTCCATGGAAGCAGGACACAACAAAATCATTCTCTATTACCCAGACCAAGAAAGTCTCATCTGGAATCCTGTATACTGCAGAAAATTTATATGAGTAAATGAAGATGACAAAGCCCAGAAGAGGTGAGCATGTGAAGGGGCAGATTTGCCACAATTCATAAACCCAATCAGTAACAAACCAAACCCCAGAACTGCCTAGGCTGATGCAGGAAGAATCAAGAGAAAACAACATTATATGTTCAAGTACATTAACAGACTGAAGCAAAAAAGAAAGAAGACAGAATTTCCAAGCTAAAAGACCAGTATCTAACAGTCCAAATATGCAGCTAGCACAATTCAGGTGAGGCACTGGAGAAAATTTCCAAGCGTAGTGAGGCATAATGGGCAACATGGGCAGACTGCTCAGTCTGCAACATCAAAAGTCTTTAACATGAACATGAAAGAAAGTGAGCCAGGCACAGCACTAGGATTTCTAATTTGTCCTGGGAAAGAAGAGTGGACAACTTTGTGGTAAATATTTACACAAAACATTCATCTCATTAAGATATTATAACTCCCTACCAAAGACAAGTTTATGTATGTTTATCCTCCACTTTAATAGCAATTTTCTGACAAAAGCTTAATTAAATATTTGTGGAAATTTTCAGAGGCAGTAAAGCACCTTAGGTGGGCACTAACAGAGTTGAAGCAAAAATGAGTATGCAGGAAAGAACTGAGCTATTCTACGATTTAAAAATTACAAAATAATTTGATGAGTGTGATAGAATAATTTTTAAAAAGCAACAACCAACAACCAAACACATAAATAACATTATTTTAAGCTCAAGCTTTACATCATGTAATTTCCAGTTGAAAACACCCAGTAGAAAAGACCCAGAGACTGCAGCAGTTGTGACAGAGCACAGTTATAATCTGAACCTTAGAGAAGAATTCCTCTAAGGCTGAGTGTGTTACTAGCAGAGAAGCAGAAGCAAATATGAAGCAGTTGGTGCTGAGGAACTGACATCTACAGTACATGCTTTTTAAAAAATAAGCCAGCTCAGTTCTTGCTACAGTTTGGTGTCACAAACCAAACACGTGTTTAATGAATCAATGAAGTAAAACCAACCCATTTTTATTAAATTTTGTAAACTGAGATTGGGAATTTTACTAGAAAACTACTAAACACCAGTGAGCAAGTTCTTGTCCATGATCTCTTTAAACATATAACCTTGAATTCAACAACAACACCTACACAAATTCATTCCTAGGCAGCCAAATCACAGAAGCATAGAACCATTTAGCAAAGAAAAGTCTTTTTAAGATCATCAGCTCCAGCAATTAACCTAACACTGCCAAGTCCAACAGTAAACCATGCCCCGAAGTGCCACATCTGCACGTCTTTTAAACACCTCCAGGGATGGTCACCCAACCACTTCCCTGAGCAGCCTGTTCCAGGGCTTAACAACCCTGTCAGTGAATAAATTTTTCCTAATAGCCAATCCAAAACTGGCAATGCTGACTGCTAGTGAGTGCCCAAGAATATAACTTAGCCTTCAGAATTACCTTATGATGCAGCACTTTTCACAACTAAAAAGGCCCCAAGGTTCAACCAAGGGATTACAAAATCGTCAGAAATTCTTTACTGAGAACTATTTGACACTGTCACTGAGACCAGATAGCTCTTTTGCCTGATGAGCTGCAGAAATAAACAATGCTGGAGGCTACCAATGCTGTGCTAACTTCCTGTTAACTTCTTTCCTGGGAGAAGGTGCTATAAGATAATATCTTCACATATTCAGATGGTCATATACTAGAAGCTTCAGAGCAGTAGTCACCTGCTGCTGACTGGTAAAGAATTAAATGCAAACATGAAAGTCAAATCTGGGAAACAATCTGACTCAAATTGGCTTTCTAGCAAAGATAAGACCTTGGACAAACTTGGGCAATTTGTTTTGTATAAAAATAAAGATAAGACAGAAAACCATTAAATAACAAAGGTTACTGTCAAAAAGGGCACGGACTGCTGAGTGCAAGCTCTGTGAAAAGGCAAAGGTTATTGTCTAGATCAAGTTAGTTAACAGAAAACTTACCAACTACTGAAGCTCCTCTTTCAGCAAAAGCCAGAGCATATGCTCTGCCCAAACCTAGTTTAAAAAAAAAAAAAAAAAAGAAAAGCAAGAGTGAATTTGTGCGCTGGATCACAATTCAGCCAAAAGTAACACAAAAAAATTAATTGCATCAAGAAACACACCAATTCAACACAAACACCCTGAAGGTTCAAAGTAGAGCATTATTTCCCCCAGGAGTTCGAAGTTTTTTGTAAGCACAAAACAAAAAAGTAAACCAACAAACAAATTACAGATAAAACCTCCAGTCAGGAGAAAAAAAAATTCCCCATGCTTACTCCTTGTTATTGCATTCATCGGAACCATCAGGGAAAGCTGCCTGCTGCTGAGTTTGTGCTTGTGACAGAAAAATACATTTATAATGAAGAAGCAAGGGGATGTTTCAAGTTAATTAATTACATTCTAAGTGAATAAGATACTTCTCAGGTTAAAGTTAAAATCTGAAAAAGAAATTCAACAAAGTTTAACTGTGACTGAAGATACACTAACAAAATAATTTGGATAGAAAGGAATGCCTAATACCTCAGTTAACCAGACACATACATAGCTTACATGTTGTAACAGAAGACTGCCATTTTTGCATCACATAAATAAGCAAAGGTCTTGCACCTTTACTCTGGCTTAGATCCTACTTATGTTAGACATCAGTCGTTTGTTACAATAAATGATTTACAGATATCCACTGCACCAGTCAAAAGTTACTGAGAACAATGACAGTGATCCTTTGTTTTATTCATTTCAAAAGAAAAAATTGGAATGGTCAAAAGAAGACCAGCCAGAAAAGAAGTTTTTCAGAGTGCAAACTGTATCTCTTTGCCCCTGACCAGAACGTTCAAAGTCAGTTCTTAAAAGAAAAAATGAGGGAAAAAAAACCCAGAACTGTTTAGACTGTTTTGAAACACACTAATCTCACACCAACAAACAGAAAATTTCCCTAAGACTCCCTTAAGCCTCTGCAACAAAGAGTATCACGTGTGGTGCATACATATCCACTGCCTGATGTAACCCAAGTCCAAGAAAACTCTCTTTTTTGTTGTTTTGAAAAGCTACATAATTGAGAAGTGCACAAACTCCACACCATGCTATACATGCTGGTATTGCCAATTGGCAAGCAGGAATTTAATGCTTAAGAATCACAACTAATCTTGAGAAGAAAAAAATAGGCTGAATTGCATAAACAATGGCAATTGCATGACAAGCAGAAACAATTCACAAAGGATTTGCCCAAAGTATAAAGAAACTACTGTATTTTTCGATGCCCTCATATGTGAAAACAAGTCTCACTTTAAAACAAATTAGTGATCCAGATGTATAGTTAATACCCAGCTCTGACCTGTTCATCAGCATCCAATTCAGAAATCAATGTTGAAGAACAATGCTATTAGCAGTACTTTCTAACTGCAGTGCTGTAAACTAAATAAAAGCAAAACAAGAACTAATCTGAAGTTAACAGGGCATTTTCAAGCAGTCTAATACTAGGAGTACAAAGGTCACTGTACCCACACTTACGACAAGCAATTTTACTCAGTGCAGTGCTTTTTAGAAGCTCATTAATTGCCAAAGTGGTTTTGTTTTGCTATTACCAAAGGTCTTAACCTGTTCTTCAGCGAGACTTGCTATATAGGGAGAAGTACATAAATACAGGTCTGGTAAAAGAGGGAAAGCAACACAAAAAAGATCTAGCCTCAATTATTCCCAGGTTGGTCACCTTCAGGTGATGCTGTGCTTTCCACAACATCATCTTTGCGAGACACCACATAATGCAGGCCCTCAAAACTACCCTTCTGGCTATGTGCGACTCCACAAAATGAAAGCAAAACTTCACCGTGGGAAGGGCAGAACGTCCTTAGGGGTTGGCAGAACAAGCTCCTCTAGCAGCTCATCACAAACAAACTCTCCCTCTCCTTTGTCTTCACTGACAGTTTTTATTTTTGCTTAAGTATTACAGTACGCAAAGGTCAATGCATGCATGCATGGAGAGGAAGAAGAAAAAAAATTAAAAGGGGACAAAAAAAACACCAACAAAAAAACCCAGCAAGTCCACACTGCAACAACAAATACAAAAACATTTCCTGGCAAAACCAAGCATTCCACTGCGGATC